TGCCTTCAACGTGGCCGATGTAAAGGCATTTCACTTAGTTTTAAGATTATTTAAGAGAAATATAATTGAAAGCAATAGTTGAGTCGTCCACTGCAGCTGCCTGCTAGCAGCATAATTGCAATTGCCACTCTTATGTTGTGCTTGCGGCGGCGGCCTTTGATTTGTATGTAGCTTCGCTACAATTAAAGAAACACTTGTAATATTGAAGTCGAGCTGTGCGAATGTGTTACTTTTCTTCGCCCAATAAATCGTGCATAGAAAGACTCCGTCTTTCTTTTACATGAACGTTTTGTGAACCGTTTGCTTTTGCCATACCGGCAAGATATCGGCTTAAAGCCGAACAGAACTTGAACACATTTTCACTAATTGGAGGTATTTGCCAAATTTATGTTAGTTATAGAAAATTCGAATTGCGTGGTATAGTGGGAAGTTCCAAAATGCACATTTTCTGGGCATTTACATAAGGCTGCTTGAGTAAATATCTCAATTATATTATTATAATTATATCTGATTATACGGAAAACCCCCAATTTCAGGGGAATGGGGGGAAAATAAAAAATTTGGTGTCTCTACCTCTTATAAGCCCCTGTTTTATCGACTCGTCTTGTCATGCTGATTAAGAATATATATACCTTGTGGGGTCTGCCTCGTCTCCTTCTGCCTGCTAAATTTTTCATCTCGCGCAAACTTATTATACTCTTGTACATTTCATGTACAGAGTATAAAAATTGCTAACTGCAACGGAACCATGCCAAAGTAAGTTGTCATTTCCATTCCAATCGTAAACTACAATTTTAGCAAAAGAATTTATACAAACAAATTAACGCAGAGCGTGCATTGCTAAAAGTAACGGGAACTAACATGAGCCTATGTTAATTGTATGTACATATGCACGCATTTTACATATGTACATCCGGCCGGCCATAAGTCAGTGACCGCTCGAATAAGAACGATTTTGGGCATGGTCATCAATTTAAGCGTATGAATCGTGCACGCGCACTTACATAGTCGTGCGCAAGCAACAACACTGCACTTGCAGAAAGTGGCATATCAGATAATATTGGTCACAGGGCTAGCTTTCATTTTAAGAATCTTTCTGTACTTAGAGCTAGTCAGATTTTTGATATAATTCGCGTTGGTCATCGCCACGCCAAACTTTTCTTAAAAGTCTACTCATTTATGCGACACCGTGCACCTTATTAATTCGCTCAAGAGCCAATCGGTGTAATGCCTACCCAAGTAGTGCTACACCGCGTACCCCATCTATTCGCCTAACAGCGAACTTGCTTAATTGGCGCCCAACATAATCGGAAACCACGATCCGTAATTAAACTAAATATAAACTTACATAAAAACCAACAAAAAGTTGCCAAACCAGCAAACAATAAAAATTAAACTGGCAGATCCAACCAAGGAGGACCACAGTGACGGGCGGTCACTTTTTATATAAGAAAACACATAACACGATAATAAGTAAAAAACATGTAAGTAGAGTGCCTATTTACTATAAAAAACAAAAAGACAGAATAAGCGTAAATTAAATTTTATGCAGCTGTTTATAAAATAAGCCTTTGCAAACCAACAAATTTTTACCTAAGATAATACCCTTATGAGTGGTAGTGAACTAGAGGAGCTAGTATCTGGTTTGGATAAGATCCCAGCAGAATTAAACAAATTCTGAGCAAAAAAATCGAGAATTGGTAGTCCGATGAAAACATAACTACAAAAATGTCCGATATAACAATGCTGGTCCAGATGGCAGTAAACACTGCACTCGCAAATCAGTCCCAAATGTTTGAGAATAAATTAAAAGAAATAGAAACTAAATTTTCTAACACAATGGTAACTGTACCCGAGGTAGAGATATTTAGGGATGCCGAAATAATACCGGGCATCCAATGTAGTGAGACATTGGATATTGTAAAATCCGTACCCAAGTTTGAGGCTAAATATGAGACATACGTTTCATGCGCAAAGCCGTACGGCTTATAAAACTTTCGAAAATGACGCAGGTAGTTCGAAACATTAACAGGCGCTAGGTACAATCAGAAATAAGATAAAAGGTCCTGCCGACATGGTGCTGTCTTGCTACGATACACCATTAAACTTTAAAGCAATCATTAAAAGACGACTTTACGTATGCAGATAAACGCCTTATTTACTTAATTGAACAAGAGTTCAAGGAAACTTGACAATAACACAATACTACGACGAGACATCAATGACGATGATACCTCCCTTAACGAAAAATGTAGAAGAGATGCCTTGCGAGTATTTATTTCAGGCACCAAAAAGTCCTTAAGCAACATCCTTTTTTCGGCACGTTCCAAAGACCTGCCATCAGCCCTGGCCTTAGCCCATGAAGTTGAGTCAAATCATGAGTGTTTCCAATTTGCAAGAACTATGCAAAAAGCCCCGAGGAGAAAGTTCACAGAAACGAACAACAGCAAAAAAGTATAGTTATGGATAATACCAGCTCGCCACAGGGTAAAAGTCCAGAATCGGAACTAATCGACCTTAACAATGAAAATATTGAATACGAGCCGGTTAATTTTTTAGACGAACAATAGCAGGTAAAACAATTAAATTACTTATTGACACGGGTGCTTAAAAAAGAACAATATAAAGCCACTTACAGAGCGAACGTTGGTGCAGTAGATAAACATTTCTTAGTTAAGTAACTTCATGGCTTTAACCCTACACAGAAAAAGTGTTTCATGCACCTTTTCAACACCACAGCTACATACTCTGACAACATTGAACTTGACCTAATAAATAGAGTAAATGCTTCGGTGAATTTTAAAAATATAATTTTGAAAACTGAGTCCGGATCCGAAATAATTCAATTTCTGAAATGCACGTACGTCAACTTTACAGAAATAGAATTCAAATCGGGATTTCATAAAATACTGTTGTGAAAAATAATAGAGAAACAAGTGGAAAAGCTTAAGTCGGGTGTACCGACTTTGAAATACTCTGTACATATGAAATATACCTGTACAAGCATGCGTCCATGTGTGATACCAGAAAATCCAATTGTGGCTAAAAATACTGAACTTAGCGATTACTTAACAAGTAAAAAAGCTAAAGTCCCGACTTTGAAATGCTCTGTATGTTTAGAATAATTATAGAAATTAAAAAAGTAAGAGAATTAAAAAAAATAAATTTGATCGATTTTACCTCTTTTGGTATTCGAACTCACGTAAAGGGGGTATAATTGCACATATACAAAGCAATTGCGTCTATGTGAGTGTATGTATGTTTATACGCGTCTATTCGTGTCTGTGTAAACATGTTAGCAGTCAACCAAACAGCAACATCAACAACAGCCGTGGACAGTGCTTGAGCAGCGCTGCAGCAGCAAATACATTTATGGCTATAACTTCTTGTTAAATCGGTCTATCATGATGAAGCTTGGCGTACGGGCACATAATTACTAACTGGGGGTATTTACAAAATTTTAGTTCGAAATTCCAAGAATTACGGGAGTTAGAAAAAATCGCGAATTGCGGGGGAGAGGGGGGAGGGAGGGAAATTCCAAAACATACATTTTCTGCATATTCTCATAAGGCATCTCGGAATAAATTTTGGTGGTGCTAGGTCTTATAGCCTCTGAGATATAGGTGGTTATACGAACGGCGTTTCCGAGAATCATCCATAGGGGCAAATTCAAAAAAATAAAACTCGTATGGCGTACACACATAGCGTACACAAATCTTTGTGCAAAATTGTGTGTCTCTAGCTCTTATAGTGCCAGAGATCCAGCTTTTCATATGGACTGACAGACAGACATAGATCGACTCATCTTGTCATGATGATCAAGAATATATATACTTTGTGGGGTCTGCCACGCCTACTTCTACCTGTTACATTTTTCAGAGTATATTACTCTTGCCGACATTCAGGGCCTTGCAAAGTTGCATGACTTTTTTTTCGGAATTTATTCCATAAAAATTGGGAAAAACCATAGTGCGATGTTAAGTTTATCAATGTTAGCTATGGGCAATTTCGTTTCGGATGTATGACATCGATTTTTATTCAGGACTTACATCACTAGTAAGCATGTATGTAGTACAAGTTGAACCAAGGCAGCAAGAACAACAAGAGCTCCGGGCTGCGCTCTGGAAAATATTACATTTGTGGCTATAATTTCCTTCTAAATCGGCCTATCATGATGCCACAATGCTCCGCCGGCTAGAGTGTGCTGTAATTTATGTTTGGCACCCCAAAGAAAAGAGCCGTCAGATTGAATCAACAGGCGGAATATGTGGATCTAGTATTTATTAATCGCCTTCAGTGGCGGCATACATCTAATTCGGCTGCCTCGGCGTAGATCACCGGGGCCTTCTGCAGCCTCTGCCAACGAAGGGTGGCCGGATCACGATCCCGTGCTATCTGCGCCGTCTCCACCACTGTCTCACTGCGAGAATTGCATCGAGTTTCTGTTTCACCATGAGGACTAATTTTTTAATTTAATGCATTTTCCGCATTAGTTTTGTGATTGCTTTGATAGTTTCGGAGATACAGGTGATTATACTAAAATACCCCATAGAGGGGAAGTGGGAGGAAAAAAAAAAAGGGTACACATCTAGCGTAAGGCATCTTTGTGTAAAATTTGGTGTCTATCGCTTATAGTCTCTGAGATCCAGGAGTCTGTCAGGACTGTCTGTCTGTCAAACAGGGCTAGATTGACTCGCATTGTCATGCTGATTAAGAATATATATACTTCGTGGGGTCTGCCACGCCTCCTTATGCCTGTTACATATTTCACCTTCCGCAAACCTAATATTCTCTTATACATTTCATGTACAGAGTATAAACCTATTTTTGCTTTTGGGAGCAATGGATACTGGTGCCTCGTGGTTTAACATGGGCGTAGTAAATGTCGAATAACTGGACAATCTAAAGATGAATAGTATAGTTATACTGAATATTTATAAAATTTAAAGATAGTAAATTTACAAATATTCTAATTATTTATAAATATGATTGATACTTGCCGAGACATAATTTAACAGTGCGGAATTAAGAATTTTGCTTTCTTCATTGATAAGGGCCAGATATTTATAGCAGTTGTAGCGAATAGTCCACATTTTCGCATCTTTCCTAGTAATCTGAAAGATTTTAAATAGAATTATTCTTGATAAAAAATACAATATAAACAGGGGTGCCACAGATATCTCTTTATTCCAAATTTCGCCCGAAAACCAAATCTCGGTGCCGTAGAAATTTTATGGGAGTTTTCAAATACCGTCTGTTTTGCCATTGTCATTAAAACACTAACAAAGACATTTTTCCTCATTAAAAAAATCATTGGAATATAAACCTTATAGTTTTTCGGGGGAGAGCAGAAAACTATAAAGTTTTCCCCAATCTAAGGTGGAATAGCTTGGGACGATTAATGCATGGCTGAGGGGGTGCTCAGTCTCTACTATGCGAACTCTGGATACCTGCCGACCGCCAGTTTTAAGTCAGTGATCGATTTTACCTCTCTCGGTCAGGCCGTCAGCCAATTGGTACCACAAGGGGATTACGTGTAACCACCAAGCCAGGTGGTACCCTCCTTGCGAGGGCGGCTGGAAGCAGGCCCCTGGCACGGTCATGTCTCTGCCAGGTGGTGCTGACTAATGGTAGTCGGGCGAGAGCTGAAAACTCTATCAAATTTTTTCCAATCCAAGGCAGAACAGCTTAAGGAAATGGATGCGTGGCTGAGGGGGTGCTCAGTCTCTACTATGCGAACTCTGGATACCTGCTTACCCACAGTTTAAGTCAGGCTTGTGGTATCCGGGCTAGGCCACGGGCGCCCCACCCCTTCCGGACTACTCGTGGGACCAGTATGAAACCTTATATTAAGACAACAAAAAAAAAAAAACAAAACAATGAGACTGGAACTTGTCATAAGTCGGACGGGACCTCAAATCCCTCTAACAAGATGGTCATAGATTTGATTGTCAATAGGATGGGAATTTGGAGAGGATCAGACCTCAGCTTCCAAGGCGAAGCAGCTAAGCCAAGCTGTAAAGCCAGCAGTCGAAGGGTATGTGGCTGGTAACTCTACAGAGCCAGGTACTTCGGCGATGCCACCACCAAAAACGACATTTCAAGACAAGAGACGCGCAGCAGACATACTGCAAAAAAAAAAAACCATTCTGCCCCCGAGACGTTACCAGACGGTCGAAGGATGGTGGAATGGGCAAAGACAATTTTACCGGATTTTAAGCCAGCTCCGGTAAGGAGATACAAAAATGCCCCGAAAAGGCAGTGGTAAGGCAGAGGAAGTGGAAGGGACCACGCGCCAGATCGTACTAGTGATTAATAAGGAATCGGTGGATGAGTTGGCCAAGAGTGGACATCTGGCCAGATATGGCTATAAATTGTTAGCCACACGAGTCTATGGTATGGTAAGGCAACCACACAAGACGCTGAATTAGCAGACGTAGAACCGGTCGTTCCAGGAAGTCCTGAAACCGAGGTCGCGTCGAACGATGAGGATATCCTGGAGGGATACTCCTCTGAAACCTTCGAGCTCGCGAAGGGACTCGCCACCGAGCATGATCTCAACGTAGACGACGATGAGGCCGACCAGACAGTGGTGGATATGGATGTAGATGCCCTTGAGGTTTCTACAGATTAATATCAACCACTGCAAAGCAGCAGCAGCTGCCCTACTACATCGTCTGAGTAAAGAAGACATGGACGTAGTCCTCATTCAGAAACTTTGGGCTTGTAGAGGCAAGGTCTCTGGATTGGAGAAGCAGTATAAGCTGATTACAGGTAAAAGCACAGGCAAGATTAGAACCTGTATTCTAACTAAGAAAAACATAAGCATTTTTCTGCTATCCAATTTCAGCGGTGGAGATAACACAGCGGCATGTATTGAGGCTAAGCCAAAGCCTATGAGAATATGCTCCGCCAACATGGCTTACGAAGAAGCTAATCCTCCGCCACTGCTAGCAAGGCAGATCATAGAGGACAGCAGGCAGAAAAATATAGATCTGCTCATAGGATGCGATGCCAACGCTCATCACACTCAGTGGTGCAGCACTGATACCAACGTACGGGGTGAGTTCATTATAGCCTGTACCCAAAGGTGAAAGGCTATACTAGTTTTGTGCGAATGTATGTAACACACAGAAGGAGGCGTGGCAGACCCCACAAAGTATATACATTCTTGATCAGGGTGACAAGCCGAGTCGATATAGCCATGTCCGTCTGTCCCTCTGTCCGTCTGTCTGTATGAGCACAAGGATCTCAGGAAGTACAAGAGCTAGAATAACCAAACTTGGTATCGAGGTTCCCCTAAGTCCTAGGCAGTTAAAGTTTATTTTTTTTATTCTGATACACCCCCCCCCACTCCCCCGCAATTCCTGTTTTTGTTTATGAATTAAGTAATTCTTGGAATTTTGAAATCAATTCTGGTAGTTACATCCAGTTAGTGCTTATGTGTCCGTGTGCCAAGTTCCTTCAGGTCAATTCTGAAGAAAGTTATAGCCATAAATAAAATCGCTGCTCATGCGCTGCCTGCAGCACTGCCGCAGCTGTTGTTGTTGTTGCTGCTTTGGTTCAACTTTGTGCTGCATATGCTGTTAAAACTAAACAAAAACATGTATTCTTATTTAATTTAATTAATTCATTAGAATTAATTCTTTTTAATAATTTAATTTTTTTTTTAATTTTTTTATTTTTATTTTTCTTTTTTGTGGAGAGTACAGGCTATTTCGAGCAAGCCCGGCTGTAGCGTTCTATCTTGTTTTCAACTACATCCTGTCTACTAACATACTCTTATGTTGGATCAGATCCAGCTTTTGTGATTAGGAACCGAAGCCAGGTTATTGACCTCACATTCAATCCGAAGTATCTCTAAAGAACGAAAGACCAATCGCGACTAGAAATCCTATACGCACAAGCTGGACCTCGTACTTTAATCACCTAAGTAATATATTACCAGACTAGCCCCCTGAGGGCCCAGACACAGTCGAATTCACCTCGACACTAATAAACAAATTGACTGCAGCGTACGAAATCACGCTGCAGAAATCATGACCCATTGGGAAACCAAGGGGCAAGCTCAAGCCTTCCTGGTGGACTCCACAAGTCAGTGAGTCAAGAAAAAAAGCCAGGACACTCTTCAACGCAGCTAGATCCCAAGGGGGAGAGCAACACTGGTGTGCATACAAACAGGGCCTGTCAGAGTACAAGAAAATTCTCACACAAGCTAAACGATCTTCGTGGCAGAACTTCTGCTCAGATATCGAGAACACTCCGACGCCACAAGGTTAAGGAAAGTTCTCTCAAAAACTCCATCAACACTGGGTTCAGGAGCCAGACAAGACTTGGACGACCTCGAGTCTAGAGTCGTTAGAGTTGCTTCTAGGCAAGTAGCTTTTGCTTTCTTATATATGCTTATATATGCTTTTCCCAGCTACACAAACACTAAACTGACCAGCAGTGCGTCAAGCGCTAGTCCAGCTCAAAAGCCGCCCAATCTATTATCTAAAAATAATATCAGGTGGGCGATAAAAAGCTTCAAGTCCTTTAAATCAGCAGGGCCGGATACATAATTCCGGCTCAGCTAATTCACGCAGGAAATACTGCCATCAGATGGTTGGCAAATATTTTTCACAAAATCTTCCTGACAAGGAATATCCCAGAAGCTTGGCTTAGATCAAGAGTGGTCTTCATACCCAAAGCAGGTAAAGCCTCGCACACTACTCCAAAAGATTTCAGACCGATAAGTCTCTCATCTTTTCTATTAAAGACGTTCGAGAGATTACTGGGTCCCCATTTAAGAAGCAAGATCCCGCTCTCAGAGCTGTCATGCTCTCAATACGCCTACTGTAAAGGCAGATCTACAGAAACGGCACTCCATGCTGTGACTTCTGGCATCGAAAAAGCCCTCAATACCAAACAATACACCCTTACCGCCTTCCTAGACATAGAAGGCGCTTTTAACAATGTGCCTCCTAACGCCATCGGAAGCTTACTTACACAACTGGGAATGGACACTTCCATTTGGGCGATGTCAAGTGGCCTAAGGGTGAACCCCAGCAAAACAGAGCTGATGTTATTCACTAGGAAATATAAAATTCCTCCTCGTCGCCTCCCATTACTAAATGGGGTACCACTATCCTTCAGCAGCTCAGCCAAACATCTAGGTTTGATACTGGATAGGAAGTTGAACTGGTACTTTAACATTGAAGACAGAGTAAGAAAAGCCACAATCGTACTCTATACCTGCAGGAAATCCATTGGACTGAAATGGGGCATGGCCCCTTATGTGGTCCACTGGCAATACACTGCAATAATCACGACGCACTAGATGCGATTCTGGGAATACTCCTGTTGCCGCCAAAATCATATTTTCAAATTTAAAACAGTTAAAAATCTGCTAACACTATTGTTTTGTTAAACACCAATACATTGTATACTAATCGTAATATCGATATATTGTCACTCCATACTTATTGTATAACGAACCCTCACTAGTCACAAGTAAGCAAGTAGTCACTTGGTTGAACACAAGCGGAGTAGACACACGAAAAGTTTTTTAAGCTCCGCACTCTGCAGCTCCGCACTCCGCGGCTCCGCAGCTTTATTTCATTGCTTATATTATATCAGTATCAGTTATAGTTAAATAAACTTGTTTAAAACGATACGCAGCAGTATTTATTTCGGTTGCTCTAAGAAGTTCGTGATCTCCGCCAAGCCAACAACTCCCAATACATCCCACGTTGGCGGCTCTGCGCATAAAAGAAACCAACCAGTGGTCAGATGAATGTTTTTGTCATGCCAAAATCCTGAGAGGAAATTACATAATCCCCTCAGTCACTGACTACTGTATCGCGAGGAGTATTCCCACCTTTCACACCATCACTCCGTCTAGGGAAGAATGGAATTCCTGCCCTTCAGGCCCCACTAATTCAATCAAAATTTACACAGGCGGTTCTAAATTAGACAACAGTGTAGGCGGGGGCGTCTTTTGCGAAGAACTAGGCATCAAAAAAGCCTTCAGGCTTCCGGATTAATATAACAGCTTAAACTCAACTTAAAAGATAAGAAAGTCTAACACGAAGCTGTACAATAACGTCTATTAATGCCTCCGACACGTTGGGGG